TTATTTCACAAGAAAATGTGCACTTATAATGGCGGGCAGAAGCTACTCGAATCTTTGAAATTAGCCGTGGGTAACACAGTGCGGCGCCGCGCCATTGCGCTGATACCGAGAGCTGAGTTACTGGCGCCGATACCGATTTTCAAATCTCTGTGACGCAATGGCGCCAGCAACACCGGAACACTAACAACACCGGGCGGCGCAAAGAACCAGCAAAGAACACACAAAAGCGAAGTGTCACTTGTAAAATTGCAGCACAAGGCGAATTTTTACAAGGTGTTGTTGCTAAAATTAGCCGCGGTCCTTCTGAATGTGAAAATTATGTCTTTGTTGTATTTTTGGGTTTTGAACTTGGCTTGTTTTTGCCCAACCGATACCACCTTGTATTAATTCACCTTAGTTCAACACCGGAACACTGACAACGACGGGTGCCGCAAAGAACCAGCAAAGAACACCCGAAACAGAAATGTCTCTTGTAAAATGTGCGGCACAGCTAGAATTCGTCGCGGTCCTTCTGAATGTGCAAATGATGGGTTTGTTGTATTTTTGGGTTTTGAACTTGGGTATACATGAGTTTTTTCTCAACCGATATCACCTTGTATTAATTCACTTTGGTGCAGCGTGCAGCAATAAAGGAAATGAGCTTCAGCCTGAAGAGGCGCAATATCGCCAACACACTGTGCTGATTCCGACAGTGGCGCTGGAGTTGGTGTGTCAGCGCCAAAAAATTTGCGCCGTTACCCAGGCCTAATTGAAATAATTTAGCCTTGCCATCTCCTAACTCGTTTTCTTTTATTAGGCCTACGATACATGTTACGATATATTTGCCGAAAACCATTTCAGCATAAAGTTGCATTCACACGCCTGAAATTTGTTTTTATGCAACTGAAGATATACGCCTTAAAAAGTTAATAGGTGTACCAATAAAACACTTTTATGTGTCCAAATATAGCTCATTTATGTGTCAAAAATTACCAATTTGCAGCACTAAAATTAACATTCTATCGGTATAATGCAAACACAATTAGTTCACAAATAAATTAGCTCTTTTAATAATAAAGAGGTAAACAATTGCTCA